TCTGAGCCACCCCTGGCAGGGTCTTGGGCTGGGCGGGAAAGTGGGACCCAAACCGGGAAGGGCCAGCACTTTCATAGGGAGCTTGGGGATGTGTCAGGGAGAGCAGAGGGCAGGAGAGAGGCCGGGGCAGAGCTCGCCTTGTGGACAGAACCCAGGCGGGGGGCGCTGGGGCTCCAGGGGGCTACGGGGTCCTCTGTGTGGCAGGAGGGAGGTGCTGCTGAGCACCTGCTCTTTGACTGGAAAGCTGTTGGTGGTGCCTCTTAGAGTCCAGCTAGGAGGGAATCTTGATTCTAATGGAGCCCAACTGTGGTGTCAGTTCTTATAAAAACACTAAACCAGAGAAAAGCCAAGTGTAGTGGTGCACACCTGTCATCCCAGCACTCTGGGAGGCTGAGGCAGGAGGATCTCAAGCTCAAGCCTGGCCAGGGCAACTTTGGGACTTGGTGGGGCCTGAAGTAAAAAGTAAAAAACCTGGGGATTGTAAGGAATGACGTGAAACAGAAACCAGCCAAGACCACCAGTGTTGTGTAAAGATGACACGGCGTGGAATTTGTTGCACCTGGCTACAGGCAGACAGGGCAAAAAGGCCATCTGTTGGAAGCAAAGAGAAGCAGGCTTTTATATAGGGCGTGGAAGGAGGCCAGGGACGTCGGGCGGGACGCTTTAGTAAAACTCAGTGGTCAGAGTCCTGTGGATGTCTCCTGTCTCAGGGGCGAAAGCCCTTCAGGTGTCCCGTGTGGGTGTTGGGCTGTCTTCAGATGTCCTGTGTTTGGAAGCTTCCACGTTCGCTCTTATCTCTTTTACTACGTCCTGTGTTTGCCGAGGGCACCAGTGCTGAGCCGAGTCTTCCCTGAGAACAGCGCCGCTGCTGCGAACAGGTTGTGTGCCCAGAGTCACGCCTCAATCCAGCCTGACAGGGGTGGAGCTCAGTATGAAGGCCCTGGGTTCAAGTCCAGGTACTGCCAAGGAGAAGAAAGGACAGCGATGGATGGATGGATGGATGGATGGATGGACGGAGGGAGGGAGGGAGGGACAGAAGGATGGACGGAGGGAGAAGGAGAAGTCAGAGGGAGGGAGAGTGGGGGGAGTGAGCAAGCGAGAGCAAATAGGGAGAGAGAGACACATGGATGGACGTGGACGGATGGACAGCTGGAGAGAGAGAGAGTGGGGGAGCAAATGAGAACGGGGCACAGAGACAGGGAGACGGAGAGAGAGAGAGAACCCTTTTCGGCCCCGTCGCTGCCCAGCCGCCCTCTCCTGACCTCGTCAGTGCCGTCTGCGGGGACCCTGGTCTCTGGTCCTCCTGGCGCTCTGGTGCCCCAAGGTTCTGAGGTCTGAGTGGGCCTCGGGCTGGGCAGAGACCCGGGTCTGGAGGGAGCGCGTGTCTCGCTGCTGTGGCTTGAGTGGGATCTGCCAGCGCGGTGTTGTCCTAGCAGAAAGCCCGGGCCGGGCACGTCCCTGGGAGCGGGCACGTCGAGGGCCACCGTGTCTCTGCCTCCCGGGTCCTGCACTTGGGGACGGGGACGCGTTTTTCTGCAGTCCTGGCTGCTCCTTCCCATGAACTGGAAGAGGACGCGGCACTGTTCATCCGCCTTCACCTCCGTGAAGGTTCCTGTCCCTCCCTGGACCTGGGCTGCTGTCGCTCCTGTACGCCGACACTCGCAGCTCGGCTGCTGTCCCGTCGCGGTCCTTCTTCACATTTGGACGGCCTCGCTCTCCACTGCCCAGCGGCTCCTCCCACACTCACAGGACCCACATTGGGGCAGCACCCAGCTCCTCACAGAGGTGCCCGGAGCCCCGGCGAGAGGCTGGGGTGCGCTCGCCAGTGCTTGTCAGCTGAAGTCCCCAAGCCTGTGAACGGCCCACGCACAAAGCGAGCTGACACTGCGCTGGCTCGCTTCAGGGAAAGATCTGCAGGTGGAGAAGCGTCCCCAGGGTCCTCTCCGACCCTCGGCCTGTGACATCAGCACCCATGTGACCGGAACTTGGATGGCTGAATTGTGCATCCCGACCAAACAGTTCCTGCACCTGCCCTTTCCTAGAGCCGGCACTTGTGTCCCTCCGGCTCCCTGGGGAACAAGGCCAGAAGGAAAGACCCTTCCTACACCACGCCTCCTCCTGCCTGACCCCGCGCTGACAAGCTTGCCAGGGTGCTGCATGCGGCTTTGGCAGGGTGTGTGTGTGTGTGTGTGTGTGTGTCCCTGTCTCCCTGCCGGCTGGGAGACTGTGCTCAGAGTGAGGGCCTGGCAGTGGCTGGCAGGGCAAGAGGGGAGCCCACTGGACCCTTGCCCAGCACTGCTGGCAGCGGTGGCCGAGGCGGGACGCTTTGCTGTGCCACAGCCTGCAGGTGTGAGGGTGTCCCTGTTCCCCAGAGTCCCACCGCCTGCCCTGGTCTTTCCCCAGCCATAGAAAGTCCTAAGGCAGGGTGGGGATCACAGGTTCCGAACCAAATCTCCTCCCCAGCAGGCTTAGTCACCATGCAGGAGCTGGCCACGAACATCAGGACAGAGGGACGGGGCCGAGCCGTGCTGACTCCGGACTGTGGGGTGGACTCTGGCCTCCCTCCTCCCCTTCAGTGTTGCTGTGACTCCGGAGTTTGAAAGGCATCTAGTACTTTTTGATGTTTTCCTCCCATGTTAGTCTTGGGCTGTGCTCTAAATTCTGTGTGCAAATTCCAGCGTTGGCAGGAGCAGCGAGAGAGTTACCCCGCAGGTGCATTGCTGCCGCGGGCCAGGCTCTGAGGAGACGTCCCCCTGAGCAGCGGAGCTGAGGAGCGGGTTAGGTGGGCAGCATCTGCCGGAGGCTGAAATCGGCCCCGTGGGGTACTGGGGCAGGTGGGAAGATGTGTTTGTAGGTTGTATCAAGCAGATTTAGGGTTAAAACACGGCCTGTTCTCCACATTCGGTCACGTTCCAGAGGTGCAGATAACGCATGTGTGACAAGCCCTGCTGAGAAAATTGAAGGCAGAACTCACTGGGCGATAGGTGGGGCACAGTGGCATCTGCTGTCCTGGGTCATAGCATTGTGGCCCCGAGGAGCCACTCTCAGGGGCAACATTTATCCGAAGAGAAGGAGCCACGCGCCCGGTACTCTGTCCCTCTGACCTCACCGAACGCATCTCATAGCTGCGGAGTAAGTGGGACGCTCCACACCTTAAAAGGACAGCAAATCTGCGACAGATCTGTCCTCACTCCCCACCTCGGCACCCGGGTGTCAGGGCGCCTCTGGGGGAAATTAAAACTGGGAGTCCACAGGAAGTGGGTGCCCTGCAAGATGCTTTCAAGGAGGTCTGCCCGGGGCTGGGCACAGGCGTGGGCATCTCAGGCACAGAGCAGTGCCCAGCAGCGTCCTGTGACAGTGGGCACGTGTGTTGGGCTGAGGAGCCTCCCCTGGCGCTGGGGGCATTTGATTCACACCGCCACCAGGGAAGCGCTTTGAGAGCTTCGGTCTGAGATGAGAGCGGCTCTCCACTTCATTTACCCAACTGCCCCTGCGTTGCCGCGTTCTGTCCCCAGGAGTACTCTGTTGCTATGGAGATAGGCAGGAGACAGTGGGAGATGGGTCACGCGCTCCTCCTGTGCAGACTTAGCTGCTTTATGATGGGTGCAGTGGTGCAGAGCTTGAGGGCCGGGGTGGTTTGTCTTCACAGACCCATAAGTCGGCGTCGGTGTGGGGCTCCCACCTGGGTCTGCGGCGAGCGCTGGCTGTCTCTGCTGCTCTGCACTGCACAAGGGTGCAGCAGCTCGCACAGAGCGACGCCCTTCTGCAGCGTTTCGTCCTGCGGCCTCCATATGTAAACCCCAAAAGATTCAACAGCAGCACATCCCAGTAGCCAAGTCATGGAAGAGGCTTAGATGCCCCTCGACAGATGAATGGATAAAGAAAAGGTGACATTTACACCCCACAGAGTACTACTCTGCTGTGAACAAGGATAAACTTGAGTCACTGCAAGGAAAATGGATGACTCGACGCCTAATGCTAAGTGAAATAAATCAGACGCAGAAGGTTAAATATTGGATGGGTGCTCATACAAGAAAAATAATAATATAAATAATTTGAAGAGCAAAATAAAAGACAGACTACAGGAAACAGGGAGCCTTTTGAATCATCCCCAAACCATCCTCCAAACCATCCTCCAAACCATCCTCCTTCCCCCATCAGCAGAAAACTTGTCTTCTGGGAAACCGGTCCCTGGTGCCAAGGTCGGGAGCCACTGTCACAGGAGATAAGCTGGCGCAGTGAGAGCTGCACACCTGCCGAGGCAGTGTGGCTCACGGGGAGCAAAGCCAGAGGTCTCGGTGGGCGGTGTCCCCAGGGTGGCATAGGTGCCCGCTGCCCTGACTCTGTGTGGACCAGGCCAGGTCACGCGTGCTGCTGACCGAGAAGAGCGAATGCAGTTAGGAGCCAGGGGAGGGCGTGGCCACCTTTGGTGTAAAGGTGAAATCAGAGCGCAGGTGGAGACGCCTCTCCACCTGAAGTGTGCGCCTTCACACGTACTCCCCGCAGGCGGAGGGCGGCAGCAGGCCGCAAGCATGGTGTTCCTCCGCCTGCTCCCCGAGTGTAGAGACCCAGGGGGTGCGTTTATTTCGGGTTCTCGGCAGGCTGTCGCTAGTCCGGAGCCGGCTGTTCTGACTGTGATGGATTAGCAGGCGGCAGGAGCAGCCGCAGGCGCTCAGGGTGGCCAAGGCCGGCGGCGTTCTCCCTGCCATGCAGCTCCTGTACTGCTCCCGTCGGCTCTCCCCCTCCTCGGGCTCTGATGCGGGTCGCGTTTCCAGCAGGCGGATCCTGATCCGCACCTGCAGGTCTGACAGGACGGTAAAGGACTCCACTGCAGAGGCTTGAGGCCCCAAAAGTCGGTGTTTCCTTCATGATCAAGGGAAGAGCCCTTGGGCACAGAACTGCAAGGCAGGGGTCTCCCCGCTTTCTCCAGGAGGTGGAAATAGGGTTCCTTGGGAGAGGAGGGGCCTCGCTGATGAGATCTGTTCCCCTCCTCCCCGCAGGGCTGCCTGACCATGCCCAGCTCCCCGTCCGCACATCCGCGCTCCCTCAGTCTGGGGCCGTCGTCGCTGTCCCTGGGCAACATCTCAGGAGCCTCGGTGAAGTCGGAGATGAAAAAGCGCCGGGCCCCGCCTCCGCCAGGCTCGGGGCTGCTGGTCCAGGACAAGACCTCGGAAAAGGTAAGGGCGGACCGTCGGGGTCTAGTGACCCAGCTGGCTCCCGCAGCTCCCTGCGAACACTGTCCCTCCTCACGCTGTGGCTTTAGCAAGAAGAGTGCACAGGGAGAACGTTCGAGCTTTGTTTGGAAGCAAAGGCGAGGTACCACGCCGCTTCAGGCGTTGGAGACAGGAAAGCTGCTGAGGCCTGCGTCCTTCAAGACGCGTGCTCCCTAGTGAACGTGCTTTTTATCTGAGCACCGGGACACGGGGTCTCCATGCAACTGCTCATAAGAACCCGCATGGGGCAGGTGCCTCGAGAAATCTGAAGCACGGGGGATCTCGGTAACTCGGGCTCGCGGGAAAGCTGCTGTCGACGTGATCTAAGTGCGTTTTGTGCATTGCGGCAGCCTGCTTTCTCAAGGGATCCCCGGAGCCCTCCAACGCCTTTGAAGGTGGCTGGAGTCACGCAGTGCTCTGCCCTCAGGCTGCTTCTCTGGGCTCCTGGATGCCTGTAACGTGACTGAAACGTCGACCCCTCCCTTTGCACGGTTTCCACACTCCCACGGCTTCAGTTACCTGCAGCAGTCCAGAAGCATTTACTGGAAAATTCCAGAAATAGTTCATAAATTCTCAGCTCCACACTCCTGAAATCTCTGGCAGTCAGGATGCATCCTGCCTGGGAAGTAAATCATCCCTGGGTGCAGCGCATCCACGCTGTATGTGCTGCCCGCCTGTCAGTCACTGGTGAGCTGATTCTACCAGGAGGGTTGGCGGTCATGGACTTGCTTTGCTGTGAGCAAGGAACCCTAATTTCATTTCCACGTGCCCCAGAGGGCAAGAGCTATGAAGCTGTCAGCTGGGATAAAGCAGTGATGAGCTGGCCAGGGCTTCTTGTAAGTGAAAGGTGACGCTTGATCCTAGGTCCTTCTCTTGGGTTTGGTCCCATTCCAGGCCCCAGCTGGGGCTTGGTGATGTGCCCCTGTGCATGTGGGGAGACAGCTGTAGCTCCTGTTTCCCCAACACAGACCGGAGCACTGCAGAAACGGGAAGCTTCGCTGCTCTACTCGTCCCTATCTGGGCGGTGTGGCAGAGGCATGTGGGGTGGCGGCTGGCAGGGAGGGTGGCCCAGTGCTTTTGATTCTGAGAAACAGCAGTGCCCAAGGCACCCAGGCAGGCAGCTCTGTGTGTGCCCCACAGCCCGAGGTAAGGACCCCTCCTGCTCTTGGGGCCCGCGCACCTTGGACTGCAGCACTGCAGGAGACAGCTGGCCCTGAGCACCAGCACCAGGGGGCGCAGCGACGTGGCCTTCTCTCTGCAGGAACTTCTCTTCTTGACCCCTGCTGCCGCCACAGTGTCCCTTGACCTGTCCCTGCATCACAAAGCTTGGGCACATCACAGCTTTGGGAGTCCTTAAGTTCCAGTGCTCTTTTGCTTGTTTGTAACGTAACCTTTCCTTAAAGTATCCCGGAAACTAAGTCCAGGCCTCTGCAGTCTAAGGCCTGGGCCCTGGGTCTCCGCTGGAAGTTGCAGCGGCCCAGCTCAGTGGCGGGTCCTGACGTCCTTTCTGGTCGGCCTGTCTGTCTGCACTTGGACCGCTCTGTCGCCATGTCGCTGTGCTGGCTGATCCTTCGGCCGTCTCTCTCTGTCCACCTGGCGGTGTCCTGAAGTCCATGGACTTCCTTTTAGGATTTTAGATCAGAAATGCTCCCCAGAGTCCCCTGCCTGTGCGGGGTGATGGGTCACAGGGCACTGCGCTCACCCGTGGATTCATCATGGATGAGTTGCAGGAGGCGGGACTTGGGGTGGACCTGGAAGGGTGTGTTCTTGTTCCAGGCTCCTCCTCCTTCCTCTGCTCCCCGTGGCGGGGCGGCTGTGAGGTGCGCAGCCCTGCTCCTCCTCACCCTTCCACCACGCCCTTCCTGTCTTGCACTGAAACTGGGCGCAGTCAACCTCTGCTCCTCTAAGTGGAGGATGTCAGGTGCCTGAGGCACCCCCTGGTCCCATGTCCAGACCTTCTTATCTGTGCTCTCAGGTTTGTCACCAAAGGCTGGCATGCAATATATTTTAGAAGAAGACATCTTGATTTTTGTCTCAAACATTTCATAACACCACTCATGATTTATGAACTCCCCATGATGTTGTAGTTATGTTTTGATAAAAGGAAATCTAGACCCCAGCAGCACCTCATTTTCTTGTACATCTGCACCGTGACATGAGGCATCCACGAAGCACACTGACGTGAAGCGATCCCCCGGGACTGGCTAACGCGTCCTGCTCAGGTGCTTGGGTGAGACTCTGAACTTGTCCCTAACACGGGATCCGTTTCCATAGCATTGGCTCTCTGTTATCTGCCCCTGGGGCTACCTTTTTGCTTTCAGTTGGGAGAGGTTACTTCTTCAGTGGTGGAAATGATGGATCCCAGGGTCAGTATCCTGCAAGCCTTCTTTGCAGTAAGACTCACATTTACCTGAAGTGGTAGAGGGGGCTGCTGAACTGCACCAGTGTCTAAAAATGCTCTGTGCTCGGAAGATGACGGGCGTCTCCACCCCTAGTGGGCTCACCCACCTTGGCCACGGCCTGCTCAAGTGGAGAAGCATAACGTAAGCAGAGAACTGGAAATACTGAGTGAAAAACAGACAGGCTTTGTACCCTGCAGGATGAGCAGGAAAAGCTTTTTACTGAAATCTGTTTTGTGTGGCACAGAATAAGTGTGGAGATCGGCTCATTGAAGCCAGCTCCACTTAAGCATATGAGTGGCTTGTGTATTAGATGGAAGCATCTGCTATGAACTTGCCTTTTCTTTCATATTTGTTTTTAAATGAGAGGTATTTTGTTACTAACTCATTTCTGGGAAAGAAACCCAAAAATGTATTGTTGTCCTGGTTGAGGGGGAAAACATCAGTTTCTTTTCCGTGAACTTCCTTCCATTTACAGATAAGAGGTTTGTTTGGGAAACCTTATTTATATTCGAGTGTTACTGGTGCAGACAGCCTGCCTCAGGGGGAAAGGAAATGTTCATTTTTGAAGACAGGACTCCTTCCTAAAATAATGAGCAAACCTGTGTATTCTTCAAGACCTATCTCCTCAAGTAGGTAGAAAAGTTTAGTAATTACTTACTGAAGGTGGATTAATTTTAGCCCTCTTCCAGTTCAGCTGAAAGTTAAAGAAAAATGTAATAGTTGTATCAATATTTGTTACCTGATAATGTACACATAGTTCGATTATGAGTATTTATTATTTCAGAAAGTATTTCTCAAAGAGAATTTCCCGGCATTGTTAGTGCCTGGGAAGTGCGTGGGTCCCCTTGACAAGCTGTGCCCAGAGCTGTGGGTGGGCATGGGCGGGCGTGGGCTGAGGAGGGCGCGGCCCTGCCTGCCCCGAGCTTGTGACCTTGTCCACACCCAGGCACCAGATGCTGAGTGGGAGTTTTCTGTTTTCTTCTCTTTTCTTTTCTTTTTTTGTACTGGGGCTTGAATTCAGGGCCTTCACAATAAGCTCCAGCTCCAGCCCTTTTTGCTTATTCTTATTTCTATCTAGAGATAGGTCTCACTAAATTGCCCTGGCCAGGCTTGAATTTATGATCCTCTTGCCTCAGCCTCCCAGAGTCTGTGATGATGGGCACGTGCTCCCATGCCCAGCTGCCTTTTCATATAAGGGACATCAGCACGTGCCGATTTTGGTGTCCTCGAATTCTGAGTGCAACGCTGCAGCTTACGGTGGAGGGAGCTGAGGCCTAGACTTCCGTGTGAAAGCCCAGAAGTTGATCTCACTTGCCCTTACAAGCCCCGGGGTGCGCATCTGGGCTCACAGACCCATCCCTGCTGCCCTACACCCCTCTGCCTGGCCCGGCCCCAGCCTGTGCAGCTCTGGGGCCCGCCCCACCCCCCTGGATTAGCACGCGCATGCCCAGGCTTGGGGGGGTGCCTTGAGCTGTGCCCCAGGCTCCCTTCCTTCAGGCATCTTCTGCAGGCAGCCGGACTTCTGTGTCCGCTGCTTCTGGGTGCCAGTTCAGCTCCCCTCACCTGGATTCTCCTTCCAGCGCTGCTTAGCCACGCGTGCACATTTCTTCGGAACCCCACGTTTGTCTCTGCGCGCATGTGTATGTGCGTGTGCGGCCCCCCTCTGTTGCTGTTGGTAAAACACCTCCCCCAACTTGCTTCAGATAACCTGGGGAGTTGCCCATTGCGATGTCCTTGCTCCACTGAGGTGGGGAAACTGAGTCCCAGAGCCACACAGCTTTATGTTTGAAATGGCCAGGGTGCACCGGCAGCCGGGCCAAGAAGGTCAGGAACACATGTCCAGAGCAGAGGCCTTTTTTGCTGAACATTTTTGATCTACAGTTGTTGAACCCACAGACGTGGAACCCATGACTCTGCAGAGATGGCTATATTTTGGCTGAGAAAACAAAAGATTTGCTGGGACAAGAGCTGCACTGAGGTGTTTCCGGTGCAGTCCTGCCTCGGTGGGGCGGAGGATGGCCTGGAGGTCCGGCTCTGAGAGTGTGCGGTTAGTTGAATAGCAGAAAGAACTTTCTAGCCAGGTGTGGAGGTGCACACCCGTAAGCCCAGCGTTCTGGGAGGCTGAGACAGGAGGACCACAAGTTTGAGTCCAGCCTAGAAAACAGCATTTTAGCAAGACCCTGTCTCAAAATAAAAGATTAAAAGATGCCTAGGAATATAGCTCATTTCAAAGGCCCTGGGGTTCCTTCCTCAGTATGGCAAAAAGAAAGAATTTTTAGTAAATAAGCCAAACCAGTGCAACACAGTTATTTGGATTTGCATTCATTCCTTCTGGAAGTACATAGGCAAGTGTAGGTTTTGTTTGCCTGCTGAAAAGGAAAGGGGAACACAAGCGCCCCTGGGCACTGGCGCTCGGTGGCAGGGATGGGGGGCCAGCTGCATCAGTAGCCGTGGTCTCAGTGTGCCTCGTGCCCTCCGACTGGGTCGCCTTTGTCACAGAGGCTCTGCCCGTCCACGTGCCACCAGCACAGCGCTCGCGATTGCGGGAAACGGCTGGCATCT